GTATTTCTATTATAAATAATTTCTTGAATGCAGCAATAACAATTGATATAGATAGTTATTAGGCTATTTTGATGAAAACAAAAATTTTATTATTTTAAATAAAAAATTAAGCAAAATTACGTTAGTAACCAGATGAAGTTTCATTAAAATTCATGATAGATTAATTAAAATAAGAAATTATAAAATTTGATTTAACTAAATCAAAAGAACATTATTTAGATGGTTTGATGATGTTATTGGAATATGATGGTTGGAAATTTAACAATTTAAAATATGAAGATGATGGTTTAAAAGAGTTTATAGAATTATATTTTAATAATATTGATCATTTATTAACAATGAATAATATGAGATAAGGTTTGAAGAATATTCTAAAGACAATTGGATAGTATGATACAAAATATCAATTTATAAGGAATTATGAAAAATTATTTTAAAAAATGTTATAAAAATGTCGTGATTTAAGGAATAATGAATTGCCTCCAATTTCAATTTGTTTAGATTATATTGAATTTTCTAAGAAAATCAAACTTAATAATGATGATACAATAAATGTCTTAACTGAATATATTAAAAGGCAAATAGATAATTTAAAATAAGTATAAATTGTTGAAATTACAAAAAATTTATCAGAATAAAAAATATATGTGGAATCATTATTTGATGGATTGAGTAAATAAATTTCAAGAAAATTGTAATATTATAGTAATTTTGAATTGTTAGATATTCTTAATTCTCATACCAAGATTGGATATTTTAATGAATCTTTAATATTGAATATTTTAGATAAATTATAAAATGAATAAAAGATTTAAGTTAATCTTTTAACATTTGTATAAACTTTATGGAGTGTATTAATTAGTTTAGAATATTTAAAAAAATAAATGAATAAGAATTATTATTATAGATATGAAAAATTGATTACACATTTAATGAATGAGTAATTATATAATAATATAATTTAGAGTATAAAAGTTTCCTAATTTCACTTTGAATGCTAAAATGCCAACTATTTTTCGTCAATTTATGGATATCTATAATCTATTAGAATTTAGTTTACATTTAGATTTATGTATTATGTTTTATATATTATTTTAAAGAATTAAATTAGAAATAATAATAATTAGGAAAATAAATTATTGAAAATGGAAAAAAATTAGTTAATTCAAAATTTATTCCTAATTAAAAATTAAATTAGTAATTCAAAAACATAATGCAATTTCTTGATAAATCATAGATTGAGTATAAAGTAAATTATTTCCTTGATAATCAATATGTTGATTTCTATATTTAAATGAGAAATCACATAATATCGATAGATAATTCATTATATGTAACTTATGATATGGTACATAATTGTCTTTATCAAGAAACATTACACTGGTTTTCATTATTTCAATAAATGGATTCTTGAAGGGGCTGCTAAAAAATATGAATTAAAAGTAATTCGGGTTAATGCAAATGAATGGAATCAGATGAATGATGATCAGAGAAGAAAGGTTTTGTTAATGTGAAATATTAAAGTTTAAAATATTAAATTTCATTGCTTTTTTAATAAAAATTATCAATTAGAGTAGAATATAAACAATATAATAAAGTCATTATAAGAGTATCTTTCATTTTTAATTTTTCTTTAATATTTTTCTATTTTCCATCATTAATTTACGTTACCTTATCATATTGACAAAATAAACAAATTAAAATTTCATCAACTACTTCAATTCAATGTTTCTTTCATTATTAATTTGCTTTTTTATATATATTATATATTATTATATATTTAAAAAAAATAAAATTTAATAGGTAATACAATTAATTAAATTGATAAAAAGTAAAGTTAAAAATTTGAATAAATTCTAGTATTAAAACAACTATTTTCATGATTAAATATTAATATATACATAGATAAACAGATTGAAAATGAAAGTATTAATTTAAATTAAATAAATACACAAAAAATAATTTTTAAAATTTATTTATATTCTAAATATTCTTTTTTAGGAAAAACCTTGACTATGTTTCATCTGAATTATAGCAATATAATATTCAAAGGTTTGAATAATAGAAATATAGTAGATTTCATTTTATAAAAGTAATTTAAATCAAAGAGAATTTTATTCTTATTTATGAACAAATCAAATTATTGAAATAATTGGATTTTTTAATAATTATTTTTCTAGAAATTTCTAATAAATATGGCTGAATACATTAGTCTAAATGAAGATGGTGGAATTTAAAAGTTAATTCTTCAAGAAGGTTAAGGAGATTAACCTTAATAAGGAAATGTATGTGAGGTAACAAAAAATATGTATTGAAGATGTTCTATACTGGAAAATTAGAGGATGGAACAGTGTTTGATTCAAATGAAGGAGGAGATCCTTTTAGTTTCACTTTAGGAGAAGGTGAGGTCATTAAAGGATGGGATGTTGGTGTTGCATCAATGAAAAAGGGTGAAAAGGCATAATTAAAAATTAAATCTGATTATGGATATGGTTAATAAGGAAGTCCTCCTAAAATACCAGGTGGAGCTACACTTATTTTTGATGTCTAATTAGTAGATTTTAAAGAAAAAAAGAAGTAGAAATGGTATAAATGTTTAAAATATTATTAGGGAAATGAATGATGAAGAAAAAACTAATGAGGCTAAATAATTTAAAGAATTGGGAACAAATGCTTTTAAGGCAAAGAATTATCCAGAGGCTATTAAATAATATCTTGAGGCTGTTAGCTATTTTGAGGCAGAAACAGATTTTGCTCATGAATAAAAATTGGCTTCTCATTTAAATCTTAGTCTTTGCTATTATTATACAAAAGATTACAAAGAATCTCTTGAACATGCATCAAAGGTTATTTAGGATAAACCAAATAATACTTAATTAGTTAAGGCTTATTATAGAAGAGCAATAGCACATAGTTCTTAGGGTGATTATATTGAAGCAAAAAATGATTTGAAGGCAGCTTATGCTATTGATCCAAATAATTAAGCTGTTATTGAGGAAATGCATGAAGTATAAAATAAGATAAATTTATCCAAAAAAAAAGAGAAAGAAATTTATGGAAAATTGTTTTAATAATCTTACTATGAAGAAGAAACTACTCCTGTGTCTTTATTAGAAAATGATCCTAGCAATATAACTACATTTTTTGATATTAAAATTGGAGATGATGAACCAAAAAGAATTGAATTTACATTATTTAAAAAATCTTGTCCTAAAACAGTTGAGAATTTCAGAGCACTTTGTACAGGTGAAAAAGGTAATGGTAAAGCAGGAAAACCTTTACATTATAAGGGTTGTGAATTTCATAGATTGATTAAAGATTTTATGGTTTAAGGAGGAGATTTTACTTAAGGAAGTATAAATATTTTATATTTTTTAAGATGGTACTGGTGGTGAAAGTATTTATGGAGAGAAATTTGCAGATGAGAATTTTACTCATAAAAATAGTGGAAGAGGATATTTGAGTATGGCTAATGCTGGTCCAAATACAAATGGAAGTCAATTTTTCATTCTATTTAAGGAAGCTGCTTGGCTTGATGGTAAATTAATAATTTAAAATAATAGGCAAACATGTTGTTTTTGGTAAAGTGACTAAGGGAATTGAATTACTAGATGTAATTGAGAAAATTGAAACAGAATCAGATAAACCAAAAGTTAGTATTGTTATAGTTGATTGTGGAGAAATAAAACAATGATAATTTAGTGTAAAATAATTATTAATTGTTATAAACAAAAATGGTTTATTATTTAATATATCTAACATCTTTATGTATTATTAGTTTTAACTTATTAAAAATGAGATTAATCTTAAAGTAATTATAATTTAATTTTTTATTAATTAAATTGAATTTACACTCTAATTGGAGATATGAAAAATGTAATTTATACACTATTTGTAAAAGAGGATTAGCTATTTCAAAATTATTATAATATATAGAATGATGAATGAAAGTATGATATTTAAATCTAAACATATTTTCTGTTTTAGAATGAATGATATTGGTATTACTACCAATTTGTCTAGAAAAACATCTTAACTTTATTCTTTTATATATCTTAAATGATTAATTATTATTATTAATTAATTTTGATTTCATAATTTAAAATGGAATACAAAAGTTTATATTACTATTGGTCTTTAGAAATTAATACTCGATTTAAGATTACACTTAATTATATATAATAATTTATAATAATGATTCATATCAAGCAACTGTTAAATCATCATTAAAATATAGATGAATTGCTGGTATATACCATTAACTTTCAGGGACTCCTAAATATTCAAATTCATCTGTTTCATCAGGTATTCCATTTGCACTTAATGTTAATTCCATATCCAAAGGTTTTCCCAATCTTTTCCAAGTATAACTGGCAGCATGTGCATTTATCTTTTTATACCTATCAAGAATTTCATTTATAGTTTCTTCAGATGGTACCTTAATTATATATATAAAAAATACTTCTATAATATCTTCATGATCTGTTAACATATTAATAATTTTAACTTTTCTTGTTTTGTGACTTAAATTACCTATACAATATTATTATTCATTGCTCCACCATCTTAAAATAATCAATTATAATTTATTACGGTTTTGAATGATTTCCAAGTTCATCATCTCCACAAGGATCAGATGATGGAATATGTAAATATCTACCTTATGGACAATAATAAGTTATCAATCCTGTATTGATATCTACTTATCTATTCAAAATAATTATAAAAATTCGTTACTTTCTTGGTTCTCCTGTTTATTTATCAAACCAATAAGATATATCACTTCCAGCTATTTTGATTAATGGTTCACATAGTTTCAATGAAATATTTTCTTAGACAAGTTATGTAAGATCCCAAACCTTTCCAAAAAAGCTAACCCATAAATCATTAGCTGTATTATGGATTGAAACATCATAAGGAGTATAATAGGCTCTTCTTTTGTAATCTTTAGGGAGATATTGCTTAAGTTATTAGTCCATTTATAATAATAATAATAATTTTCATAACTTTATTAACTTCATCTATAATAATATACAACTTATGATTATGCCTCCAAATCCAATTATTTCAATCCAAAAGATGCTAGTTGTTTTAATATTATTCAATTTCTAAACTCTAATTATATACATTATTAAAATACCCCTTAAATCCAATAATATTACTCTGTTTATCAAAAACTATGACATATTTTCTCATAACAATATCACCTAATATCATAAGATTCATTTAAGATTCTATTTCAATTCCTATATAACATAATCCTTAATATTAAAAATCTAGTAGCATATAATCATTTATATCTAATTCTAAATAAATTCCTTCCAAATAAAATTTTATTTTTGGATATTTGTCAACCTAATTTCTAGGAATTAAGCAAGGACAAAACACATTTCCATCTAATAACCTGCAATTATTTAAAATTAATTCTTAATAAATTGATATTACAACATTCTCAGGTAAGTACAAAAGAGAAGTTCCTGAATCAATTAATGCTTCTTTTAATTTTCCTGTTGACATAAAGTTTTCATTTAACTAAATATTTAAGACCTTTACTGTCTATTCTAATTAAATTTAATACCCAATAGTCATTTCTCAAAACTCTAATCCATTCCACATTATTCATAATTTCGTTCGGAATATCATCATAATAAAATAGTGATTAATCATTTTTACTTTTCAATTCCATAGCAAAAAGGTTCGATTTTATTTAACCTTATTTATATGCTAAATCAAATATATTGGCAATATCTTTATCATTACTTAAACCCAATAAACCATCTGATTATACTGCTTCAAATCCAGAATCTTGGTATGTGAATAAAATATTTGTTTATACTCTTGTGTTATTATCTCCCAATAATTAAACATAATCTGAACCCCAAAAACCTTTGCAACCTCCTGATGCATATTCAACTTGACCTGGTTTTGATTAGTTTTTGTATGTCGATGATTCTGAAGTTTAAAATCTTTTGCTGTAGTGACACTTGAAAATTGAACAATTATCACTAGGAACCCAAAGATATGGTGATCCTGTATCAAATATTACAGTTAATTACTAATTTGGTGTTCCAATTTGAATTGGTCCATAATATTACACATTACCATAATTTGATAGTTTAAAAGCATCCATTGATTTTAAGACTTTAAATTTAGAAAGTGGTATCTAAACACATAGGATGGATAGAAGAAAAGTAAAAAAATATAAAATATGCATTAATATTGTTATTAAATAATTACTAATAACATTTATATAATGATATGAATATATTATATAATGGTAAGTTTGTTTCAAAATTATAGCTATATACATTCTTCTTTAAATTCCTCTATTAATTCATTAAAAATTAAATTAGAGATATCCATGAGTACATAAAATTTGAATTCATTATAATTAAGCCAATTCAATTCCTCATTTTAAACCTATCATTGTAAATAAGTCATACTTCTTAGTGAAGATAATCTATCTCAGCTTATTCTAAACTTTTTTAAGGAGCATTCTTTAATGTATTATTTATTTTTGAATCTTAAACATAATGATTTTATTGAAATTGTTGACTAGTCAATAATTATTCATCATTCCATTCTATAGTTTCATGGTAATTCTCTAAATGTTGATATTTAATCTTTTCATCAGGAGTTTAAGAAGTAGAAGTATGAGTTTTTAAACGTTTATTCTCAAATTCTTCATTATAATTATTTAACAAAAGAGTTTCATTTTAATTTGATAATTCTTAAATAGAGTTTTTATAAGCTGAATCTGAAAAGGCTGAAATTGAATAATTAATAAATTGTTAAGAATATGAAATTTGAGAATATTAAGAATACTTCTATTATTGTAAAAATTTAAGTTCTTTTTCAGTTTATATAAAAGTATTATATAATCCTTACCATCCTTTTTCAAAATTGATTTTATTATTTTCAATATCTTCATATTATTTAGTGACCCATTTTTCTAAAGTTTGATATCTTTCCTCAAAAGTTTTAGGAGATATTAATTTTTATTCAAATTCTTATGTCAAAGCTTAATGTTATGATTTCTATTATTCTTGAACAATTAACTATCTCATTTTTATTAATTCATCCATTTAATTTCTATTTAGTATTTCATCAAATTATTTTGAAGCAAATTAATGAAATGGTTACTCTTCAAAAATAGATTCATTTTCTAGTTTTATTGAAGATGTAAGTATTTATCTCATTAACTTTTCAGAACACATTGCTTATCTAATTTCACTCATAACCATAGATTCTTATGAAAATTAAGGAACTTATATTTCTAATTTCTTAATTTAAAATTTGCTAAGAGAACAATCTTAAGAACATTACTATGTGAATAATTTTAAATCTTTAAGAACTTCATTAATTGTTTTTTCTTAAGTTTGATTCTCTAATTTAGAAATATAATTAAGAAGTTCTTACCACTTCATTTTTTAATACTTAACAAATTTACCAGAAATTTTAGGACTATTTTTATGTTCTTCTTTTTCGACCTTTCCTGATTCCAATTCTAAAATAAAATTAATATCAGTTTAATGAGTTAATTAATTTAAGGTTTGTTCCCTACCTTATTATATAGATTAACTATCTTTTTCGAATCGAAATTAACTTCTGAATGTTTCTTCATTAAAAACTTCTGGTTACTTATAATAGTATTATTCGAATTACTAATCCAAAATTAATTTTCTTGTCATAAATCCTCTCCAAACTTTCTAAATTTTAGTTGCTGCAGTATGCATTCTATTAAATTTATTTTCGAGAATGCCAAATTCTTTTAATTATATTTTTTCATCTCTATTCAATGAGAATTCTTCAGTTAAAACTAATTATTATTTATTCGAGGTTGGTTAAGAAGGCAATAAATATGGATCTGTATCAGTTAAATACTATACGCAACTACTCTCATCAAAAAATGCTGAATATATTTTTGAATATCGAGCTTATAACTTTTTATATTTTTCCAGCAATTCTCCTTCATAACCAGTGAGTTAAGTAGTATTCTCATTTTTAGTTTTTGAACTTGAATTTCTTTAGGTAAATTCTTTTTTTTAAGTTATTGAAGTTATACTCCTTTTTTTACATTTTTATTAAGATAAACTTTCTATAATTTAAAATAGTTTTACTTTTCAAAATATTTCGACTATTTTGCAATTATTTTTTCATATCCTTCTTTCTATTCATTTATTCATTTTATTTTTACTACTGATGTAATTAATTTTTCTATTATAAATGTAGTCTTTTATTTTAAGTACTTTACATCTTTTTTGAGTTATCCTATTAAAAATTGGATAATCCTTAAGTTTTCTATCCTACATACATATAGTGATAATATACTTTGAAGAAGCAGTTAAATTTTTTTCTTTGGAATTTTATTTAAAAAATCTAATCCTATTTCCTATCTTCTTTAAATCTCCTTTAACTTTGATTCCTTTCTTACAAAATTATTTTTTTCTTAATTCGTTAATTTGTATATTTTAGAAACCTTACGCTTTTCTACTTAATCTCTCTTCTCATTATGATATGAATCAGTTGGTATTGTTGCTGATGTGCCTCTCTTTTTAATAATTTTATTTGGTGAGATATTGGTTGTCTTACAGATAAGAGAAGTATTAGTTGTTAATGGGTTTCTTTAAGGACTTTTTGATAATCTAAATTTTATATTGAGACATACTTTTTTTATTTCTTTTGTTGCATGATTGGATAATGATAAGTAGGGGATAACGATTTGATTACGTAATATAAATTAATTTGTATTTTTTGAAATAAATTAACAACTTCTATAGTTATTTAATGAAATAATTCTGAATTTGCATTTACATTCTAGCAAACTTATTGAATTATTACTTATATAATACTATATAAAAGTTAACATAATCAGAATTGTATACAGCTTTACAGATCGAAAAAATAGTATGGATCTAAAAAATATATGGATATAAATTACTTCTTTAAAATACTTATTGATTTATAACATATATTTCTTGATTTACAAGATTATGATCATTATCAAATAATCTCTAAAATTTTAATGTTATTCCCTTAGGCTTATTTTTATTGAAATAGTGATTAATAAAATATATGTACAGAAATAATGTTAATCATAATTATTTTAAATATTAAGAATGAAAATAAATTATTTCAACATACAATTTTAATTGGTATAATATATAATTTAACTGAAATATAAATGATTATGTTTAAATTATATAAACAATATATATTCAGTTTAAGGTAGGACATATAACATCAATATTACAAAAATCTTTATTCTAAAAATTGTTAAATTTAATACTTAATTTTTTTATTTATATTATTATTATTATAATATTTTATCACTTAATAAAAGTTATGAAATTAGTTGTAATTTTGTGAATGAAAATGAATAGTATATTATATTTATAGATTACTAAAATAATTTTATAAAATTAAGGTTTAATTATGAAATGCTTACTAATATTGAAGTTTTAGCAATAAGAATATATTTTAATAAAAAATACAAAAGAAACTTTTAGTTTTTTATAAATTCATTCCTTTATTTATTATAGCACTTATTATTATTCTTCAGTGAAATGCTAGAGATTTTTAAATGATATTTCTAATCCAGGATTAGAACCTATGGAATTTGAAGGTTAAAAATCAGATTCCTTTATTATATCCATTAAGGATTCTTGTTTTTCTTGAGTGAAAACTTAAGCACTTTTAGCTCTACCATGACTTGCTTAAGGAGTTATAGAACAACTGATTAATAATTTAAAAATCTAATGATTTATTTAAATATTACTCTAACACAATCCATATTTTATTCTCCTATGATATCTTAGACTAAACCTTTTTCTTAATCTAGTAATTTAATAGGATCATTATTTTATTCAAGTAACTAAATGATATTATATAAATATATACTATTTTCATTTAATAAAATTTTTCATTTCCTAATTTTCGTTTAAGGAAATCAGTTAATAATAAAGATCTATTAGGGGATGTAGGTGTATTTGGATTAAAGAATATATCAACGAAAGTGAATGATTTTTAGTTTTTTAATAGAGTAGGTTAGCTTTCCACTTCTTAATTTCGTTTATTATTATTATCATCAATTTAAGTATTAATAGAAATAGATTTTTAATATTTTAGCTATTTAGAATTGATTTCATTAGATTCTGTTCTTTAAGTGGAAATAGGTGTTTAAGCTTTTTGTTAATCATCTATATAGTCTGGAAGAGTATGTAAATTAGAAACTAATTATTTTCCATTTAATTTAAAATGTGGACTATTTTAATCAACAATATCTGTTTTATAAACTTAATATGGAGTATTAAGTTTAGATTGACTTCTTCTTGAACAAATTGGTGATTAACCTTGTTATTATTTTGATTTTTCAACTAAAAAGTGTATAGAATTCTGTTGCATTCTGTTACTTTTTTTACTGGATGAGAATCCATTATTCTATTATTTAATATTAGTAGATTAATAGATTTGAGATAATTTTTATATTTCTATTTGAATTTATGGAAATGACAGTATTTTTGAAATTTCTGGCCTTTTTTCTGGTTGTTTCTGTAACATTTCATCTATAAGATTTGATAGAAATTCTGAATAGTGATCAGAGATTTTTGTATGTTATTCATTAATAATTTTAGTGGCCAAAGCCTTTATTTAATATTAATTATATTACATTGATTGATTCAGCAGTAAATGGTTTTTGTAATGTACATAATTCATAAATAGCACATCCTAACATCCATATATCAATTTTATGATTATATTACTAATTCTAACATAATTCAGGAGATAAATAAAATGGTGTACCTAAATTATTTGTTTTCTTATAATTAATACCTATTGAGGTTTATGCCAATTCAGATGTGTTTTCTAATGTTCTAGAGATACCAAAATCACCCAATTTCACCTATTATATTTAAATTATCTTACAATTCCATCACTACAAAGGAATATATTTTGTACTTTGATGTCTCTATGAAGTATCTTTTGAGAATGAAGATAATTGAGCGCTACTGCCAATTAGGTTAACCATGCAAGAATCTATAATAATGCATAAATGAAATACAGAACTGTAGATTCTTCAATGAATTGATTATTATGTTTAGCCTCCTTTATTTTTAAACTGAGATCAGCTTAGATTATTTTTTCAAATGTTTACCATTCTCGGCATATTCCATTAGAATACATAGTTTATTATTGTGTACAAATGAATCATAGTGTTTTATAATGTTCTAATGGTCTAACGATTTGAGAACCTTAACTTCATTGAGAGGGTCAACCACAAAGCTTTCTCTCATACTTAAATCCACTCTTTTAAGTGCAAATTGCTGTAAATAAAAAGATTTAACATACTTTTCCATCACTTTTTCTTGACACCAAAAGAACATCACCAAAATTACCTTTACCAATTTTTCGAATTCTCTCAAAATGATCCATAATTCGTTAGATAAAATATTAAATAAAAACATCTCATTTATTTTAGTTTAATATTCATAATAAGAGTAATTTGACTAATTTAAGTGAGGAATTACTTCATATCTGATAAAACATTTCAATATTTTTAATGATAACTAGTCAATATTGGAGATTCAAAAAATATTTAATTTTGAATAAATTCTTTCTAAGTTAAATATAATTGTAGAGCATATTGATATTTAATTAATATTGTTGATAATTTTAATATCATAAGGAGAGAATTTAATTTTATAACATAAATAATCACTATAGGCTTTTTTTATAATAACATAAATTTTAGATAGAAAAACAATCAAATAATATTAGGTATTATTTAATATATCAGATATATTCCATTAACCGATTAGAAATCAATATTATACGAAATTTTTGAGACAAAAATTTAATTAAATTCATTTATGTTAAGAAATCGAAGAAAATACTCTATTCACCATTTGTATTTAAGCTTTTCTTTATAAAAATGATTTTCCTTTATTTGGTTATGGAGGTTAACTTCCTGATGTACAAGTAGATTTTTGAGAATGACGAGAGTCTGTGATAAAAGGATTTTGGAGTATTTTAATACTACCTCTACCTCTTAGTATAGTTGTGGAATGCTAACTTATTGATTTTTAATCTGAAACTTTAGAGAGTAGGTATTTTTACTGTATCTTAAGAGGTGGGACTTTTGGATTAGGTTTTGAGTCTGAATTTGCCTTTTTTAATTATATTTAATGGAATATATTTTGTAAATTGTTATGAATAAGGTTTGTTTAGCTATTTCTTCTTTGACATTACTTGAATAATGATTTTTCTTAATATGAGTCGTCTTTTCTACTAAAAGTTGGAATTTCGAGATCAGGTGAACAAATAACTTCATAAGTGCATTTCAATTTTGGAATTTTGAGTTTAGGGTTATGAAAAAATGAAGCTGTCTAATCAAGATTGTCTTACATTATTTATTAATAAAATTTAAAAAATGATGTACATATATTTTAATTATATAATCACAAATTTTTAATTATTTCAAATAGAAATTCAATAACAATAAATAACTTTTATAAATAGAACTCATTTAAATAATCATTCTAATTTAGGTATTTTGTTTTTACCAATATTTTATTCTTCTTCTTCATCATCATAATATGCCATTCTCATTTATTTAGCTTATATACTTGTCATTCCTGAAATAACAGATTCACATTCACTTCTTAAAGGAGTGGCAGCAATTGATGATATTTATTACCTTAATGGTGTTTATATTCTACTTGGTCTAAATCCCAAAGTAGCTGTACGTTCACTAATTAATCTTCTCTCTCTATCTTCTTTCTCTCTTCTTCTTAAACATTCTTCACTTTTCATTTCATGTTCTCTTTTAGCTTTTTCAATAGATAATTCTATTTCTCTTTTACTTTTTTTTTCACTTTCAATACGAGATGCTCTAGTTTCACCATCTTCTTTAATACTAAAAAACATAGGACCCATTTCAGCTAACCATTAAGGATCAACAGCACTTACACAATGCATATATTCTTTAGATGTCATTACCAATTCATGATAAACAACATAATCTGGAGCATAACCTAAAGAATATAAAGCACTTGAAGGATGCAATTTACATGGCATACCTGTACGTAAATTGATATAATCTCCAACTCCTTTAATTTTAGCTGCATTCTAAAAATATGCTGAACAAATAGCTTTTCTAACAACATCATATGAGAAATTACAAGTACTCATTTTTAATCCTAATTTACCAGCAATATCTTTTAATTAAGCTCTTACTTCTCTTACTTTTCTCATACTTTTTGCTTAAACAAAATGATCATTACACCATTCAGGTGAAAATTCATGTCTTTTCCATTATTCAAATACATTTAACATTGTTAAATGATCACTTTCTCCAACAAATAACTTTTCTCTAGCAGCATCACTTTCTGCTTCTCTATCTTTTGGTCTATAAAATATTCCTGGTACACTTAACATACTAACAACTGTTAGTATTTCTTCAGTGCATCCTAATTAATCTCCTTTTATTAACATTTTTGATAATGGTGGATCTAAAGGGAATTCACTCATTTTTCTACCAAGTTCTGTTAATTCACCTACATTATCCAATGCTCCCAATACCCATAATTAATACATAGCATTTAAAATTGTATCTTAAGGAGGAGGATCCATAAAATCGAAATCTAATAGATTATTAATATTTAATGATTTCAATAATAATACTACATTAGCTAAATTTGTTCTTTATATTTCAGGAATATTATTTTCTAACATATCTTATCTATAATTTAATGAAGAATACAATCTAAAACAAATACCAGGTCCAGTACGACCTGCTCTACCCTTTCTTTAATCTGCATTAGCTTATGATATTGGAGTAACTTATAATGCATCCATACCAATTCTTGGATTATACACTTTCATTTTACAATATCCAGTATCTATCACATATTTTACACCATCTAAAGTTAGAGATGTTTCTGCTATATTTGTTGCCACTATACATTTTCTAAATTCACTTTTTTCAAAGATCCTTGCTTATTCTTCTGATCTTAATTAAGAATAAATTGGTAAAATTAAAAGTGGAGGAGTTGCTTCACTTAATTTATTGAGTTCTTCAGCTAATAAATAACAAGTAGTTTCAATATCTTCTTATCCTGTCATAAATATTAAAACATCTCCAGGAGGTTATTGAATATGAACTTCAATAGTTTTCTTAATTGCACTTCTAACATAATCTTAGGCAGGTGCTTTTTCAAATCTGACATCAACTGGAAAAGTTCTACCTGGTATTTTATAGATAGGTACTCCACCAAAAAAATCACTGAATTTTTTAGCATTCATAGTTGCAGATGTAATAATAATTCTGATGTCTCTTCTTCTTTATGCTACTTTTTTAAGAATACCAAATAAAACATCTGTATTTAAAGATCTTTCATGTGCTTCATCCATAATGATAGCAGAATATTTTTCAAGATCAGGATCTTAAAGAGATTCTCTTAATAAAACACCATCTGTCATATATTTAATGACTGTATCTTTACTAGTATAATCTTCAAAACGAATGGCATAACCTACTTTACTACCTAATTCTACTCCCATTTCTTCAGCTACTCTTTTTGCTACTGATACTGCTGCAACTCTTCTTGGTTAAGTACATCCAATTACACCAGTATTAGTATAACCTTCTTCATATAAATATTATGTCAATTAAGTAGTCTTACCTGATCCAGTTTCTCCTACAATAATAGAAACTCTATTATCATGTAATAATTAAACTAATTCAGATCTACAATGAAATACTGGTAAGTATTCTCTTTGTTCTTTGATTGTTTTATTTCTAGCAAAATCACTTTAACCTTAAGTAACTCTTTAAAGAGCTGTTTAATATCTAGAAGAAGCTTTAAAATCATAATCTCCATCTTCATTTAATAAATGTCTATCTGGATCTTATTCTTTTTTTCTATCTAGATTCATAACCTTTCCCATTTTGGATCCACTTAATTCCCAAAATCTCTCTCTCATTTTAGTTTTATCTTATTTCTCTCTCATTAACATTAAAACTTCTGAACCTTACTTTGCTAACTTAGCCATATCTGAATTAGGATCTTTGACAATTTATACTTATGTCNAATGCATCCATACCAATTCTAGGATTATACACTTTCATTTTACAATATCCAGTATCTATCACATATTTTACACCATCTAAAGTTAGAGATGTTTCTGCTATATTTGTTGCCACTATACATTTTCTAAATTCACTTTTTTCAAAGATCCTTGCTTATTCTTCTGATCTTAATTAAGAATAAATTGGTAAAATTAAAAGTGGAGGAGTTGCTTCACTTAATTTATTGAGTTCTTCAGCTAATAAATAACAAGTAGTTTCAATATCTTCTTATCCTGTCATAAATATTAAAACATCTCCAGGAGGTTATTGAATATGAACTTCAATAGTTTTCTTAATTGCACTTCTAACATAATCTTAGGCAGGTGCTTTTTCAAATCTGACATCAACTGGAAAAGTTCTACCTGGTATTTTATAGATAGGTACTCCACCAAAAAAATCACTGAATTTTTTAGCATTCATAGTTGCAGATGTAATAATAATTCTGATGTCTCTTCTTCTTTATGCTACTTTTTTAAGAATACCAAATAAAACATCTGTATTTAAAGATCTTTCATGTGCTTCATCCATAATGATAGCAGAATATTTTTCAAGATCAGGATCTTAAAGAGATTCTCTTAATAAAACACCATCTGTCATATATTTAATGACTGTATCTTTACTAGTATAATCTTCAAAACGAATGGCATAACCTACTTTACTACCTAATTCTACTCCCATTTCTTCAGCTACTCTTTTTGCTACTGATACTGCTGCAACTCTTCTTGGTTAAGTACATCCAATTACACCAGTATTAGTATAACCTTCTTCATATAAATATTATGTCAATTAAGTAGTCTTACCTGATCCAGTTTCTCCTACAATAATAGAAACTCTATTATCATGTAATAATTAAACTAATTCAGATCTACAATGAAATACTGGTAAGTATTCTCTTTGTTCTTTGATTGTTTTATTTCTAGCAAAATCACTTTAACCTTAAGTAACTCTTTAAAGAGCTGTTTAATATCTAGAAGAAGCTTTAAAATCATAATCTCCATCTTCATTTAATAAATGTCTATCTGGATCTTATTCTTTTTTTCTATCTAGATTCATAACCTTTCCCATTTTGGATCCACTTAATTCCCAAAATCTCTCTCTCATTTTAGTTTTATCTTATTTCTCTCTCATTAACATTAAAACTTCTGAACCTTACTTTGCTAACTTAGCCATATCTGAATTAGGATCTTTGACAATTTATACTTATGTCAATTAAGTAGTATAAACAACTTTACCATCCAAAAAAGGTGGTTTGATATCATGTACATGTATTACAACTCTTTTTTCATTTTCTTCTTCATAAAAATCCCAAGCATCTGCTTTTCTTTTGAATACATCTGATGCAATCATACGATTAAGTTCCCATCTATTTTATTCTTAATTTTTTTCTGATTATCTTACTGTTTAACCTTTACGTTTACTATATTCTTCAAATTTAAATTCTTCTTTTTAACCTTTAAATACTTCACCTCCCCAATCTTATTAAGAAGCATTACCAATATCATCTTCATCATAATCATACCATTTTCTATCTGATTCTTATTCTATATTTTCCCATTCAAATGCTGTATATTCATTAAGTAATTTATTGCGTTTCCTTTCTTCTTCCAATTTCTCTGAACGAGCAGGTGGCTTTTTAAACCCATCTGCATCTTCTTCAAATTAAGGTTGAGCATTTTTTTGCACACTTGAATTTTCTGTACCTTTGAACAACATAGGTCCAGATGGGACTTTAAATTAGCTGCTAACTGAAGATGAACTTCTATAAAGAGATTCTCTATAAAAAGGAGCCTATCTACCTTTACTATCATCTCTAGAACGACTCTCTCTTTCCATTCTTCTACTTTCAATTAAAATTTTTTTATTATTTCATTATAATCCTCAAAAATAAAGAATTAAGCATATAGATTATTTATTAAAATAAATATAAAATATGGAAGAGAGTTTCACAAGTAATCCAGAAAATCCTGAAAATTCACATAACACTAAAGAATTATCTAATAGTAGTCAAGCCTTCTTTAATTTCATAAAGAGTCTAGTGGGAATAGCAATTTTGGATTTACCTTATTCTGCAAATGAATGTGGTTATGGTTTGGCTAGTATATTACTTCTGATTTTATCATATGGGACAATAAGAACTAGTTTAATGTTGATAAAAGTGGCTGAAGAATCAGATATTCATTATTATTCTAAAATTGTGAAGGAATATATGGGACCAATCTCAGCTTCAATTTTAGATATATTTTTATCAGGTTAGTAAGTATATATATCAAATGTTATTTTAGTTGTTTGCTTGTATTGCATATATAATATTTTTTCAATAGATGTGCTAATTAGCACTTTCTAATCTTCCAAATTACGTTAGTATAATAATATCTTTATTGGTAATCATTCCATTGTCATTAATAAGAGATTTACATTTTTTCCATAATACTAGTACAGCTGGATTTTTTATTGCGGTTTTTGTATTGGTAGCAATTTCAGGAATTTCAATATCTTAATTTGGAAATGCTTAGGATGTTGTAGCATTTAATGCATCAGGAATGTTTAAATTTATTGGTGTTGCTATGTTTGCATATGAAGGAATATGTACAACACTTCCTGTAAGATATTCAATGAAAGATTAAAAGAAGTTTCCGTTTGTATTTTTAAGTAGTTCATTAACATGTTTATTTATGTACATTGCTTTCATAATAATTAATTGTATAGCTTTGGGTTCAAAATTACAATAAATTATTGTTTTTAATTTACCCAATGATAAAATATGGGCATTTGCTTTGTAATTTTTATATGCAATATCAATTTTATTCACATATCCAGTTTAAATATATCCTGCATTTACAATAATTGAAAATAGATTAAAAATAAGAGACACTAAGATTATATGGATTGTTGAAAGACTTATAGTTACAACCATTTTATATGTGATAGCATATGTCATTCCAAGTTTTAATACATTTCTTAATTTAATCGGAATGGTTTTTGGTACATTCTTACAATTCATTTATCCTATAACTTTATATTTATTATATTTCAGATCCAATCTGAGTATTTTTTAATGGATTGAAGCTTCAATTGTAATGCTTATGGGTGTAGGTGCTGGAGTTCTTGGTTTATACTTTTCAATTGATGATTTAGTAAAATAAAATAAATGATTACAAATATAATAAAATTATTATGTATAATAATTACATGAACCCTCGAATGACACTCAATAATAGAGGTTAACAACCTCAATAGCCAAATGGTCTTAGAAATGATTATTAAAGTGTTGTTTAAGTAAATAGTGTAAACATTATATAAAGGGTATATAATCTTTAATGGGAATCTCATTTTCAGCTATTTAATTATGTTTATTTGGTTCAATGCTGATTGAAAAAACAAAAAAGTTATTGGAATTTATTAAATCTGGAGCTGTTACTTCAATTAATAAACTATTAACATTGCTTAGAATCAAATAATTTCTTAAAGGGGAATTGACTATGACATAGATAGGTAAATCAATAGTAAACACTAGTACTCAAGTTGGTAAGTAATGGATAATTGCTTTACGATTGCTTTTGTTAGTTGGTATTCTTAAATTAAATATGCAGTCATTCTATTGATTGGTGCGTTGTTGGCACATATGAAGAGAAAAATCAAAGAAAAATAAGAAATTGAAGTTGCACAAAAATAAGCAGATATTGAAGAAGCAGAATAATAATAATAATTAGATAATCAACTTGACACATCTCAATTACCTATATAATAGAATGATTTCTGGAATCATATTGAAGAAAATATATCCAATTAAGAATTATAACCATAATAATAACAATAACAATAATCAAACCCTATTCCTACATTTAATTATCTTAATGATCTTCCAGGATTTTCCAATAATGGTAATCCAAGTAAACCATGGATGAAATGATCAATTTTATTATTTTAATATATATATATATATTTAATATCATAAATTCTAATAAACATGCAAACACTATTAAAATTATTTACAAAACCTCGAATTCCAATAATTCGCTTAAGTGGAGTCATTAAATAATAGTCTGGAGATAAAATATAAGATTAATTGGATAAAATCAAATCTAAAAATTTATGTGCTTTAGCTATCTTAATTAATTCTCCAGGAGGTTTACCAGTTTAAAGTGACATTATTTGTCAAAAATTAAACTTATTCAAATAAAAGCATAACATACCTATTTATACATTTGCTGAAGATGTAGCTGCATCTGGAGGCTATTTTGTACTTTGTATTGGTGATAAAGTATTTGCAGATCAAAGTTCATTAATTGGAAGTGTTGGAGTGATTAGTTAATGGTATGGAATTAAAAAAGCATTAGAAAAATTAGGAATTGAAGCAAAATTCTTAACTTCCAATGATTAAATACATGAAGTAGTAAACAGTGCATTTTCAGATTTTAATTAAGAAGGTGCTACTTAATGGGTAGATAAATTGGAATTTACACATTAAATGTTTATTAATCATGTTAAATCTTACAGAAAGAATATAGTTGATTAAAATGTATTTAAGGCTGAAGTTTATAATGGAGAATAAGCAAAATAATTAGGATTAATAGATGATTTTGGTAATTATGAAGAAATACTTAATAAACTACATCCAGGATGTAAATTTGAATATGTCTCATTTCCAACAAAAATGGAAGAACTTAAATAATTAAATAAAGCTTGAGTTTATTATTAATAATAATATATATATTTATTTATCTTAAGATTTTCTTAATATCTCTACAATTATTATGTAATTTTTTAATGAAATTTACGATTAAATAATAAAAGTGAATCAAACTAAAATACTTTTTTATTCTCTTTTTTTTAAATTAAAATATAAAACAAATTGATTTAAAAGAAGAGCAGGAAAAAAGAATTTTGGATATATATATATGCTTAGAAAGTATTTTTATTTTAGTCAAATAAGACATAAGAATGATATTGAATATAATTGGAATATTGAGTATTATCATTTATAATATAATTAATTCTATTTAAAATTACATTTATCTTTATTTATATATGTATTTCTGTATTATTAGAGATCATAAATGAAGATAAAAATGTTCTTCATAAATTGAATGAATTTGGTAAATGAAAATTAATGTAATTAAGAAATTCTATTTAACTTAAATTTTAGTAAATTTATGATTGGAAAATATAAAATATGTGAACCTATTGGTTAAGGCTATTCATGCAAAGTTTATAGGGCATAATCATAGGAAAATAATTAATTTTATGCTATAAAAGTGATTAATCATTAATAAATGAGTGAACCTTAAATCAAATTACTTGGAACTGAAATAGAAATTTTGTAAACTTTAAACTGTTAAAACATCATCAAATTGTTTGATATTATAAAGAATACTTCATATACATTCATCATAACTGAATTATGTTAATATGGAAGTTTAGAAGGTATATTATATAAAATACTTCATAGATCAAATGAATAAAAATAAATAGTTTAATGAAGTGCAAGCATTAAATTTTTTGAATTAAATGTGTAATGCCTTATTGACATTAAAGAAATAAAGTAATAGAAACTACTTATTTAGAAATAATACATAATGATATTAAACCATCTAATATCTTTATTTCATAGAATTGTTTCAAATTAGCTGATTTTGGTTTTGCAATAAAAGAAAATTCAAATTATCAATTTAATTTTGGAAGTCCTTTGTACATGTCACCAGAGACATTAACAAATAATTAACATACTTATTAATCAGATATTTGGTCACTTGGAATTACATTATATTAATTAATTCATGGTTATACTCCATTTAAAGCTTAAAATGAAAAGGAACTTCTTTTATGTTATCTAAATAATCCTATTTAATTTAATAAAGAAATTAGTCCTAAATTGCAAGCAATAATATCAAATATGTTAACTATAGATCCTTAAAAAAGAATAACAATTGAAAAATTATAGATATTAATTGTTGAAAAAGAAAATAATATGACATCATCATTTCATTAAAGAACTAAATCTTTATCTTATGATAAATAACCATTCTAATTTAAGGAATAGACATTGAATATTTGTTTATTTGTAAAATCAGTGAGATAAGAAATCTAAGATAATGAATTGTTAACATATGCCCTTACTGGATTAATATTGTATTATACAAAATAAGAGCAAGGTAAACTATAAAGATGTTCTAGAAAATGAATACAATTAAATAACCGTGATTGTATAATAGTAGAAACAGCCAAATATATTTTAGATGGTAAAAAGTGATCTATTGAAATTCTGTATGTCCTAGTTGATACTCAGCATTAATTTACTTGCTGATTAACTTAAATAATTAAATCCAGTATATATATAATCTATTATATAATCAGAATTTCTATCATGTTTAAAAAAGTAATGTCAGATTATTGGTTAATTTATATAATTTATATATGTTTTTAAGATCTGGTGAATAAAATAGATAATTAGTACTTGCAAGTTAAAATATTACATTTTAAGAAGCCTAATAATTATTAAGTTAGATAAATATTTGATTATATAAGTTATTATTATTATTATGTTAACAACATTATTTAATATTAACTTTTTATTTTAATTTAGTGATTTATCAACTTAAATATATATATTATTATAATAAACTCTCATAATTTTTATAAATATAAAATATTATGACTTTAATTATAATTATTATTATTAATCAACAACCAAGATATAATGATGAGATACTTAGTGACAATAAATGATTATGAAACTAGAAATGATGTGATCTATTATATCATTTACCTTAATTGTTAAAATGCCTTTAAAACACTATATAAGAGATACTCTGATTTAAAAGCATTAAATGACTAACTATAATAGAAAAATAATGAATTCAAGTTAAAATTAATGCTTCCAAGATTTCCAAAAAAGAAAATGTTTGGAAGAACCAAAAATTCTCAAAGTGACATTAAGACTAGAGTAATTAAATTCTTAAATTCTTAGGGTTTAGAATTACAGTAATATTTAGAAACTATTCTCAATATTCCATCCATATGGTCATTTTAATTTTTGAAAGAATATTTACCTAAAGTATAATAAATAGATGAAACTTGTCGATTAGAATAAATTAATACTGAATATTCTAAGGATTTATGTTGGTTGCAAATGGATGAATTGAAAAAATCATTTCTTCAAAGACAAGATCTTTTCTAATCAAATAAGAAAAATAATTAGAAAGGAAATAAAACTTCAGGGTATTATTAGAGATATCATTTTACAATAAATGAATTTATCATTTAGAATGATTATGTTCAATATCTTATCATTTTAACAGATACTAAAAAGACAACTAAATATTAATTTGAAATGAGATACAGCAACCTTAGAGATTGCCATTTATTATTAGAAAAATAATAATTTAAAAATTGTCTCCCTTAATTTCCTAAAAGAAGATTGATAGGATAAACAATTCATAATCCATAATAAATATAAGATAGACAAGATTAATTATAAAGATATTTAAATTAGATATTTAGTGTTTAAGAATTTGTTGAAAGTGAACCATTGGTTTATTTTATCACAAGAATTAAATTAGAAGGCAAATCTATTAGATAAGGTTAAGCAGAAAGAGTAAGTTAATTTTCATAATAAGTGAATGGATCTTCATTTAATGTTAGTTAAGGAATGGAAGAACTTCGAGAATAGAAATCAATTTGATGGGCATGAATCTAAAAATATATTGTTTATGTTATTTTTTTCTATAGATTTCTTATAATATTTATATAAAAAGAATCTATAATCTTAGAGATTTAAATAATAAACAATTTCTTGATATTAAGATATAATAGTTATAATTAATTATAAAATTTATCATTAATCAAATGAAACCTTGGAATAAAAATAGAGCTAATTCTTTATTGTTAAAAGACTCAGTTGGAGCTGCTAAGCAATCAATATACACTATTCCTAATGATATTTATTTTGGTAAAGCAATTGTTCATGATCTTGAAGGAGCATAATAAGGTAATATATTATTTCAAAATAGTAACATCAACTTGGTATTATCATAATCATAGTGAATAAAATCCTCCTGATAGAGATTTTATGAAATTAAATAAAATGTGTATTTCAAGTAAATTGCATGATCAGAAATAATTTTATCTGTTCAGAAAAAGTAACGATGCAAAAGTGTTTAGAAGAAGAGGTTGCAGTTAAATTGAAATGAATCTACCTGATGAAAACTTTCGGTATGGTAAACCCTATTTACCTTAATCTCCTATGAAAAATGTGTTAAGTGGCAGTTATATGAATGAAGCTGAATAATTAATGGATAAAAAATATGATGCAATATCAAAATATAAACAATAATAAAATAAAAGACCTTCAACAGCAACTAAACATACTAAAGCTAGTAAATTAGCTTACTAAAGCTTAACTAAATCTTTAAACAAAACACAGTAACCATAATTCAAATTGAAAGAATTTGATAAAGTAGAACCTAAAACTAAAACAAGATTTTGATTTATAATATTTAAAATAATTTATGGAATAAAAAAAGAAAAGAAACAACTTAATTTTTTATTCTTTTGATTCAGATATATAATTGAATAGATCTATTAATTCAATTAACTTAATAAAGACATTTATCAATATTAGATGAATCTACTTTACTATTAATAATTATAATATCGAGGAGATTAAAGAGGAAAATCATATCAACAATAAAGCAACTTTATAAGCAAAAAATAGAGGAAATATAACAAGTTATTTGACTAAATAGAAATATAATCTGCTGATTTTATTATTAAAAATTGAATACTTAAAATAATAGATTCAAAGTAATTTTTACTTTATTTTCATTCAATTCACATCTTTAATAATAAAGATAAATTGATACTTACAATCAAAGTCATTTGTTTTTTTAGTGATTTTTCTTAATAAATTGCTAACTAATATCAATAAAGAGTAATTTTTTGCAACTTAAATAGAAAACTTAATATAAAAGAAATGAAAGATAATTATATAATATTGATTAAGCAAGAAAATAATTTAATAATAAGATACTCAAATTAAACTTAATAGGATTTTTTCATTTATCATACAATGCAATGATAAAAAAGAGCAAAAAGGATTTTGAAATTTTTATTTGAAATGCAATGTATGATTTAAATAATGCATTTAATTAGACAATATACTTTAAACTTAGGATTTTTTAGTATCAAACAATTAAGAAGGATCAACAAAAAATTATTCATATTCTTATATTATAATAAATAAATAGAGTTTTTAGAAGTCATAAAATAAATAATTTTTACTATATTCCTAATTGATTTAAGAATAATAACAATTATTGAATGTGATAAAGAGGTTTGCAAATATAAAAGTAATCATAATAAACCTAAAAAATAAATTAATAATTATAAATAATGAAGCCATCTTAAATGTCATTATAGAAGTTTGATAATTCTATAATTTTTATGTTAATATCAAAATATTATGATTAAAATTAGAATATAAAGGTTTATTAAACTAAAATTCAAAGTAAGAAATGATATATATATATTTTAATATTAAATTTAAAATTTGAATGATTTAAGAACTTTTGGCTTAAAAATATGCATAATTATCTGAAAAACCAGCAGATAATGTTGATTTCACAAAAACAGGTATCATAAATTCTATATTTTAGAGGAAGTTTATAAAGAATTAATAAAAAATTTGAATGAAGATCTCTCTATTGAATAATTAAAATAATTAGGAAATCAATTTGTATATATTAGAATAATTAGTTTAGCTTGACTTTTTATAAGTATTGTAATAAGATGAATTTATTTGCAGAAAAAGAGCAAAAGAAGAAACATAAGATAAAGATTAATTATTACATAAGGAATATCCACAATTATAAGATAAATTATAAAAATTAAAACAAAATTGTTAAGAAATAGATTTTAATGCTAAAAAAGTAAATGAGACTCTTAAAAAATTACCAGAAATAGAAGAAGCTAATAGAAAATCAATGAAAGATAAATTTTATGAAGATGTAAAGGATGTAAAAGATAAGATTCAATAAGAAGAATAAGATGCTCAAAAATTTGCAGAAGAAAATTTAAAGTATATATGTTTTCTTATTTAATAGAATTCGTGAAGAAATGTAAGCCTTGATTGCATAATATGAATAAAAAGAAAAGGATTTTTGGGATAAAGTTAAATAGAATGAAGAGGAATAAAAAAATGATACCAAGAAGTATATGGAATAATTTGAAAAAATGCAAGGTGATGCTTAAAAGGCAATGCAAGAAAAATAATTAATTTAAGATGCATAAAAATAGTTAAATGATAAAAAAATGAAATTATAAGTATACAAAGGAAAATAAAATGAATTTGTTGAGACATTTGAGAAATCAACAAGTACCTTTTAAAATTTAACTGGGGAATTCTTAAAATTAGCTTTTAAAGCAAAAGAAGATGAAGAAAAAAGTATTTTAAATTAATAGAGAGCTGATAAAGCTAATTTATTAACAGTAGAAATAGCATAAAAAGTATTATTTATAATCATATTTTAAAGAATGCAGATTTAAAATTATAAATAGAAAATATTGAAAAAGAAAAAGATAAATTAAGAGCAGAAATCTTAGAACTTAATAATCAAAAAAAATTATAAACCCAAAATTAATAGTAGTAAAAAACAAATGGTGAAAATTGATTTATATTAGGGCATTCAACATAAAATAGTCATTCTTATCTTTATTATAAATTTATTAAAATATTCTATAAATGGAAAAATAATTAGAATTTATTTAATTGATATCATAATTACATTTTTGTTTAATTATGGATGAATTCTATTGTCATATTATCTTAGTTGATAGTAGAATGTATAAAGCAAATAAATCCATCCTTCTTAACTTTATTATTTTATTTGGTTAGTCTTTCTCCTATTTAAAAATCAGTTATTTATTATATTCATTTGATTATTGATTTAATTTAATAATAAATATACATTAAAAACTAATGAAAATTAAAATTTCTCATTTTTTCTTTATTGAATTGTATAAATAATATAAATGAGAATAATTTGTTAAATAAATATTTTTAATGGAAATTGAATACGAACAAAACATTGTACAATAATCACAGGATCTTCATAAAAATACCTCAGTAATACTTAGTATTATATCTTTAGTATTATAATTCTGGATTACCTTTATCTGAAGATGCAAAAAGAATATTGAATAGTCAATAATTGATTACATCTGGAGGCTCTCCATAATTAATTCAAGAAAGAATTAAAAGTCCAGAAAAACAAGTAAAAAGTATAATAAAATATAAATTTATGAATGATGGAATGTGGATGAAGTAATTTTCCATTTAATGTTCTAGAATATTAATAGATAGAAATGATTATCCAGAAATCAAAGACACACCTATTATAGCAATGAATGCATAATTTTAAAATGATGGATTTGAATTTACAATTAATGTGAATGAATTAGTTGAATATGCTTTGAAAATCCCTAGAACTAGAGAGAAAATAGTACCTGAGAAATCAAAAATATATGAAAGAAAAAATTATATCTACATAGCTTTATATAAAGAAAAAGAAGGTGACTGGTGGTCATTGAAATACTGACAATATTACAGTGATTAATTTTTAATCTAGAATTTTTATTGTTTTTTTATTATTGATTATAACTTTAATAAATAAAAGAATCGTGGTCATCTGGTGACTCATAAAAATTAATAAGTTCATTATAAAGTTAGGACTACATTAAGATTATACTCTTCCATATATTTTTATCCAATTCTCAAACACATCTATTAGTCAAATTAAATTTAGTAATAGTTAATTTTGAGCATAACTACATTTGAATTAATTTCAATATTAAAGACCATTATTTGATTATTTAAAAATACCTTATATTCTTAATGCAAAAACATGAACTTTATAATTATATTCCAAATCCTTAATTACTATTATACATGAAAATTATTTAAATATAATTTACAGTTATTCTAAAAAAAGATACTTTATATTTATGGGAAATTTTATGTTTAATTAATGTAAAGATTAAATATATATTTGTAAATAATAATATTACAAATAAGCTTATTTATTTAATTTAGGATTCAATTTATTCATGAATTTCAGATTGACTCAGAAAATATAAATTAAAATAATTAACATATAAATGTGTTTCTCTAATGATTTAATGGAGAACATAAATAAAACTAGAATAATATATCAAATATTCATTATATTTAAATAACTTAATAAGTATTTAAATTTTTGATAGAAATATTTAGAGAATCAATTATTTAAGATTAAAAATGTAAGTGTTTTTTAATTAAGTTTATACTCTTTTATTGAAATTCTATCTAAATAAATTTTTAGATTTATGTAATAATTTTAAATGTTTAACATTCTCTATTTAAATTTTTAAAGAATGCATAAAGATAAAATTAAATTGCTTATAATACTAAATTTTATTGGATTTTATTACTAATTAAACACAAAACCTTTTAATTTTTTAGAATTCATGAAAAGATGAGATATAAAAATAATTATAATTAATGGTATTTTAATATTGTGTAGCGTGTGGAAGGAAATCAGAAGGATTGGTGAAATTGCTTCCTCATTTCAAATCCTCCAAGGAATACGAGTATATCCATAAAAAGTGCCTATTATTTTACAAATCTAAATGGAATCATAGATTGGCAGTCAATAAAAAATTATTTTACAAGGATTACTTGAAACATTGTTCAATATGTGGAAAAAAAAACTATAAATAAGTTGTTCATTGTTCATATAGGTATAATTAGAATGTGTAATTCGTAAAAGTTTATGTAAAAAGAGCTTTCATTTTGATTGTGTAGACAACCCTAAAATATCTAAGACTGAAGAGAAGAGTCACCGTCCTCCTAAGTTATTGATATTTTGCTCATAGCATGATTCAATAGAAAATGTTGTTACTGATTTAGATGAAACAGTGAATTCCCTATATAACTCTTATATAATTTAGAAGCAATAAGAAGAACCTCATTCACATCATAAATCTAAACATAAAAAGAAGCATAAAAAGAAGTATTCCCACACAAGATCTCGTTCCCTTAGAAAAAAATCAAGAACTTCAAGCAAAAATTTAAAATTTAGTGATGGAGAAGAGTCCGAATCAAAATAATCCATTTCTTATATTATTTAACCAGAACAGCACAATAAAAATCTTTTAGTGATTCAAAAAAATATTATAACTCTTGATTTAATGAATCAAGCTTTTTCTAGTAAATTATAGAATAAGGTATAGACAGAAATGGTTACTAAAACACCACCATTAACATTGAATTGTTAATTTTAATAAAAAATTCATCATTAAGAATAACTTATAAAGTCATAACCATTATCTTAACAATAACCACCATAACTATAATAAATATAAATTGAGAATCATAAAAATGATTAGATAAGATAATAAATTTTCCCTTAGATCACTAAAATTATATTAGAAGATCCAGAATTTCCGATGTAAGAAAGAGAAACAAAAAGAGATTAATCTATAGCAAAATGGTGGGAAAAGATTGATGATGTTTTTTTTAAGGGAGAAGTAAACATGCCCTTAACAAAATTAGAAGAATTAGAAAATTTATTTTAATGGCATAATTAAGTTTTAGATTAAGATCTTTTAGATATATCAGATGCGAGTAATTTTGGTAATTCTTTGATTTATGGATAGAGCCAATAATTTAGTTAAGATATCTATATAGAGACTCCATGAATGTTGTATTTCGAATTTCACAATCTTCCTATTAGTACACTAATTGTAAAACAATCTTTTAGATTCATACGATATAATTTCACTGATTATATTGGTCGAACCAATACCAAAGGATAGATCCTAACAAATCTAAGACTTTATAGATACCCATAAGAAAGTGTCCATTTAATAAAGAATTTATAAATATCTGAGAAAGAAGTAAAAATATTAATTTGCTAAAAAGGAGCCAGTAGGAAAAAGTCTTGTTTTTCAAGAATCCTGTGAATTAAGTTAAGAGGATTTTGATAAATGTATAAAATTGGAAGAAAAAATTAAAATTTAGTAATAACATTTAGAGTAACATCTTGATATAGAAAATGAGACATTGGAATAATTGGATATTGTATATCATGCATTAAAAGAGGATTTAAATAACATTGTTCATTAAAATAATTTAATGAGGGAAAATATAAATAATTAAATTATAGCTATCTAAGATTATGAAGATTTAACAAAATTAAAAAAAAAGTAATAATTGATGATGGATTTATTAAAATGGTCTCAAATAGTAAAAGCTTTTATTAATGGATATAAAGAAAAATAAAAAGATGTTTTAAATACATTCTATCCTTGTTTAAATTTGGATTCTCAATCCTCTTAAAAAGCTTAATTAAAAAAGAAAAAAATACATTCAAAAGAAAATAAAAAACCACTTGATACTGATTGTAAAATATGCTTTGATTATCATTATACCGATTTTAATCCAGTTATTTATTGTGGAAGATGTTCAACATCATTTCATAAAATTTGTTATTGCTTTTTAGGAAATCTTGATGAATAAGATGTTCTTTGTGATGCATGTTAATTTGAATAAAATTACTTAGGAACTACTAAAAGAAGTAAAATATTTATTTATTTCAGATTAAGCAAAATGTAGAATTTGTAAAAAATTAGGACTTCCATAAAAATAAATTGATAATCAATTTTATCATGTTTCCTGTTTATTGCTCACAAATTTAGTCATTATAAAAAAAGGTGTTTATGAAGTAAAAAGTAGTAAAAATGATATTAAATAATTCTGTAAAGATAATGAAACAAGTACACCATAATGTGCTATATGTGGTGATGAAAAAGGTATTATTTTATTAAATCTTAATAGGATTTCGATTTACATGTTTTGGTAATGAGACAATACCTTGTCGTCATGCATTCCATCCTTTATGTGCATATCTTCATGGACTTACAATTGATATAGAAACTGAAGATATTGAATAATGTTTTGAATAATAAAGATTTGGTTAATTGAATGTTCGTATTAAATGTGTATTACATTGTGGAAAAGATTTACAAGATTTATTACTACAAACCTATTATAGGTAATGATTATACATAATTATTATTAGAAGATTTGCATTAAATTATGACCAAGCAGCTTAATGTGGAGGTTAAGAAGTCTTTTTAGAAGATTTTAAAACAACTAAGGGATATAAATATTTATAATCAAAACAACCCATATCAAAGAATGACTCTTTATTATCATAAATATATAATTTAAATTGAACATCAACAACAATGATTTGAGTAATATTAAATTTAAATTATTTAATTGATCATATATTTCTTAATCTAATATTTTTAGATATTTTATTTATTAGTTAATGAGATTATTCAAAATATCATACTCTATTTTTTATTGAAATTTGATTTATCACTTCAGAGACTAATATATGTATACATCTTAATAGAGTAATAAATAAATTTAAAATTTAATTCAACCAAACTCATTTAAATAAATAAATATCAATAAGATATTGATATTATTCTGAAAGAAGTAATTCATATTTAATTTTTAATTTGGTTTAAAATAATCCTTTTAGCTTAATTATTATATATATCCTCTTAAAGGTTAAAATTCATCTTTACTTTTATATCATAATAAATTGCATCATTTTTAAATTAAAATTTAGAAATCTTTAATTGATTGAATATATATATATTGTTTTTTAAATGAACATAATGGAAAATATGTAAAACATAGAATTAGAGTTTAATGAGTCTTTTCATTCAAAAATGATTATTTTTAATTATAAATATACAAAATGAAATATGATTATAAATTTTTAAAGAATGAAACCTAAGAATAATTACTTCCCTATATTTAATCTAATCCAAAAACAACACAACTTGATCACAAAGAGATTAAAAAGAAAATTAAGATGTAAGTAAATTTGAAGAAAGTAAAGATTAGATTAGAAATTATTAGCCAGATAATATCCAACTCCAAGATCTCTGTCTCAAAGGGTATACTATTGGACAAAGGATGAAAGTACAATACCAGTGATTCAAAAAAATAATGATTCAAACTCGATTATTGAACATTCTTCAGAATATTTCATGAAGCAAGGAGATTGGAAAGAAGATATCCACAGTCCTATTAAAACAACAGTAGATTTAAGTTCCAGTAAATAAACCCCACCTAAATTCACAAACATTAAAATACCTAAATTATAAATTACAAAACAAAAGAAAGAAAAAATAGAATATTTAGGCGAATTGTTTACTAATAGATCTAATTCATCTAGTCAAAAATTAGACTTAAAATCTGATTATTTTTATAATGTTATTAATCCTTTGAAAAAAGAAATTAAACCAGATCGAAAAGTTAAATAAGACTGTTTTAATCAAGCTTTTCATATATTAGAAGAAATTATTCCTGCATCTATTGTAGTTAAATAAAATCATGGTTTAATATAATAGTCTTTATCAGAAAGTGAAATTAAAGTAGAGAAGAAAAAAAATCAAACATCTTTTGCAAAAAGACAAAAAGCAAAAGCCTGTATTTCAGATCAACCTCAGCCTAAGAGTGTACCGGAACCATTAG